CTGCTGCTGCTGCTGCTGCTGCGGCTGCTGCTGCTGCTGCTGCCGCTGCTGCTTCAGGGGCAGGCCTGGGGGAGGGAAGCAGCGGAAAAAAACTGAGCCGCGCTGGCTGCAATGAAGTCTGCTGATCCTGCTGCTGCTGTTGCTGCTGCGGCTGCTGCTGCTGCTGCTGCCTGCAGTCAATGCGGGAGCTGCTGTCGAGGGCTTGCTGCAGCCACAAGGGATTTCCTGTTGTGGGGCAGATCTTATTTAGCTGCTGCTGCAGCTCCGCATACACCTGAGAGGGAAAGTCCCTAAACTCTAGGCCTGCGAGCTGCAGCGCAGCATCTGCTTCTGCTGCTGCGTCTCCCTTGACTCCCACCACCGTCACTGCTGCTGCTGCTGCTGCTGCTGCTGCTGCTGCTGCTGCTGCTGGGAACCTGCTCAGCACGGGCCACTCCCCGCGCTGCAGCAGCACCAGCAGCGCCTGCGACTCCTTAGCCAGCGACATCAAATACTCTGCTGCATCCGTCAACCCGTCCTGCCTCTGCTGCTGCTGCTGCTGCTGCTGCTGCTGCTGCTGCTGCTCTCGGTGCTGCTGCAGGGCGCGAAGCAGCGAGACCAGCGGCAGCCGAAATGGAGGCAACCGGCTGTCTCTGCAGCAGCAGCAGCACACACGCAGCAGCAGGCTCCATGAAGCACACAGAAACAACCTAAAGAATCAAACGATGCTGCTGTTGCTGCTGCTTCCTCCTGCTGCTGCTGCTGCTGCTGCTCCCTCTGCTGCTGCTGCTGTTGTTGTTGCTGCTCCTAACAGCACAACCTGCGGCACTCTAGAACGCACCTTGGCTGCGCCTTCACAGTGGGCCAGTCTCCCGTGGGGGCTGATGCTTCTGCCTGCTGCTGCTGCTGCTGCTGCTGCTGCTGCTGCTGCTGCTTCAAGAAGCGGCGGATTGCTGCAATGTGCTGGTGCGGCTGCACTATAGTGAGTATTTCTCGCGTTTCCTCTCCTATCTGTTCAATGAACACAACGCGGCATGTGGGCTGCTGCAGCAAAGGGGCCTCCGCGGCCCCTTGCTGCTGCTGCTGCTGCTGCTGTTGCTGCTGCTGCTGCTGCTGCTGCTGCTGCTGGCTGCTGCAGGTGTTGCTGCGGGAGCTCTGCCGGCGCCTTCCACTGATGGCCGCCGCTAGGCAGCTATCAGCCGACGTTGCTGCCGGGCCCGCTGCTGCTGCTGCTTCCCCTGCTGCTGCTGCTGCTCCACTTTCAGGTAGTTCTGTCTGTGCTGCTGTTGTTGGTGCTGCTGCTGCTGCTGTTGCTGCTGCTGCTGGACCAAGCTCCGCAGCAGCAGCAGAAGTAGCGCCCGCCCTTTCAGCCTCTGAAGCACCGACACAGCCATTCTGCCCCTGCTGTTGGCTGACCTCGCACGGCTGCTGCTGCTGCTGCTGCTGGAGCTGCTGCAGCAGCCTGCAGCAGGCCTCCTCAGTGAGGGCTCTCGAAGCAAAAGCAGCAATAACTTTGTCTCCATGCATGGCTCTATTTCTCGGAGAGAAGCCGCCAATTTCGAATGCCTGCATGCGCTCACGAGTCACGGGGTGTACGTACACCCGGGAGGGAGCAGCAGCAGTTGCTGCTGCTGCTGCTGCCTCCGCCGGGTGCACCAGCAGCAGCTGCAGCACAAACGGCAGCAAACGCGTGTGCAGCACAGAAGCCCCTGCATCCAAATACAAAGCAACGGGCAGCAGCAGCGGCGGCCGCAGCACTGGCAGCAGCAGCAGCAGCAGCAGCAGCAGCAGCACGGCTCACCGCCTTGGCTGTCTTTGTTGCAGGCACATGCACCACCCCTCTTACTGCTAGGCCAGCAGCAGCAGCTTTTTCTGCTGTTTGCTGCGACCAAAACGGTTCAAACAATCCGCTGCTGCTGCTTCTCCCCGTTGCTGCTGCTGCTGCTGCTGCTGCTGTTGGAGAGGGACCTCCGCCGCCCGTGTTGCTGCCGCAGCGGCTGCGGAGAGGGCGCCTAGCTGGCCTTCTGCTGCTGCGCCCGTGCTGCAGCAGCAGCAGCTGCTGCTTCTGCTGCTGCTGCAGGCTCCTGCGAGCATTGAGGGCAGAGCGTCCATGACCCCGAGTGCGCGCTCCCTTTAAATTGCTGCTGCTGCTGCTGCTGCTGCCTGCAGCAGCAGCAGCAGCAGAGGTAACCTGGCGAGACGCTTTGGTTGCAGCAGCAGTTGCTGCAGCAGCAGCAGCAGCAGCCCATTCTTTTGGCTGCTGCTTGAACTGCTGAAGCAGTTGTCTGTACTCCTGCCGCTGCTGCTGCCGCCGCTGCAGCTGCAGTTTGCGTTCTGCTGCAGCAATGCGCCTCTGCTGCTGCTGCTGCTGCTGCGGGTACCCACCTGGGCCAAACGACGGTAGCGGACCAAAAGAAGCTCCCTGAAGTGCCAACTGCTGCTGCTGCTGCTGCTGCTGTTGCTGCTGGGGCAAGCTGCCCCACGGAACTGCAGGCCCTAGCTGCTCATAAGGAAGACTCCAGCCAGTCTGCTGTAGCTGCTGCTGCTGCTGCTGCTGCTGCTGCTGCTTGAGCTGTTGTTGCTGCTGCAGCAACACCTGCTGCTGCTGCCACTGCCGCTGCTGCCACTGCCGCTGCTGCAGTTGCTGCTGCTCCTGTTGTTGCTGCTGCTGCTGCCATGCACGATAGTGCAGCTGCCAAGCGATTTGCTGCTGCACCTGAATGTCGATATGCTGCTGCGCTATCTGTGCTGAGCTCTGTCGCTGCTGTTGCTGCTGCTGCTGCTGCCGCGGTCGCTGCTGCGTTCCGGCTGCAGCAGCTGCATGCGTGCTGATTTCCCGGCTTGTCTTTGGCTTAGCGTGCGCCTCCTGCTGCAGCAGCAGCTGCTGCTGTTGCTGCTGCTTCCGTTCTTGCTGCTGCTGTAGTTGCTGCTGCGGCTGCTGCTGCTGCTGCTGCTGCGGCTGTGAAAGAACCGAAGATTTTTTACGCAGCCCACGAGGCACGCGCACACGAACTTCACTCGAAGGGTCAGCAGCAGCAGCAGTTGCTGCTGCTGCTCCAGCAACAGCAGCAGCAGCAGCAGGAACAGCAGCAGATGGTGTGGCTGCTGCACTCCCTTCTGCCGCTGTAGTGTGTCGACGCCTGAGAAGCTGGGCGTAAGGCCTGTATTCGCGAGCAGCAGCAGACAGCGGTGCTGCTGCTGCTGCTGTTGCTGCTGCTGCTGTTGCTGCTGCTGCTGTTGCTGCTGCTGCTGAGCATCCCGCTGCAGCAGCAGCAGCAGCTGCTGCTGCTGCTGCAGTGGAAGCATCTGCCGCTGCCAGCGGCAGCGGCAGCCGCCCAAGTGACCTTCTAACTAAACAAAATGATGGTATCATTGCTCGCAGTTTTGCTGCTGCGGTTGTTGTTGCTGCTGCTGCTGCTACTGCTGTTGCTGCTGCTGCTGCTGCCCTCTTCGCCGCATGTTGTGTGGGGCTCTAGGAGAAGACAAGTAGAAGGCGGTGGTCCTGTGTCCCGATTTGGCTCATCTTCACTGCAGCAGCAGCAGCAGCAG